GTGTACGTGACTGAGCTGGGAAAAATAGATGGAACGTACAGGGAGATGTTTGAGGCATGGAATAGAGAGGAAAGGACGGTAGCTGTACTGGGGCATAGGAGGTGGGTTGAAAAGGCGCTAAGGGATATCGTTAGGATAGACAGGCTAGGGAAGACAATTTTGAGCCATCTTTGGCAAAGTTGAAAGGGACGATTGGCCATCGGTGATCGGTCCTGTGGGAACAATGCTCCGTCCTCTCGAGGACGCGTGGTCAATGGTCTAACTGCTAAGGCATGCACAACATAAGAGTACGCCCCCCCCCTCCTCAACTGCTAACACCCTCGCATGCAGCATGAGGAACGTAACCAAAATTTGATGCTTGGAGTGCGGTGTGTATTCCCTCGAGACTTGAGGAGTGCCTAGGAGGTCAAGGCTACAATAGCAGCTCCTCCGCCATCGATCAAAATTAGCACCCAAAGTAATCCCTGCTTATTGCGGCAAAGGCGCATCTTGGAAAGCGATGGCAGGAATGTAACTCACCATGTCGTGCCAACGGGCCGCCTGCAATGTTCACCGCAGTTTCAGTCACTCAATTCGATCTTGGGTGTACTCAGCTCCCTGCTGAGGATGCCAGAACGCAGAAATTTGGGCCGCCCCGTAATGGTATCTCTATCTCTGCACCAAAAACGACGGGTGGACTCCCGTGATCTCACTTGGGGTGGGGTCTGTCGAGGATGGTGTCCGCCTCGGTTTCCTTCCTCCAGTCTAGGGTGGCTTCCCACCTCGCCCAAGCTTTGGCCACGTCCATGCTCTCGGCCAGCAGGAAGCGGTGCGGCATCGGTGCCAGAGAGGACCCACTAGTTTTTTTGGCGGAAGGGGCGGGGATGGACAACAAAGGAGCTAAGTCAACGTTTGGGACAGGGAGGAAAGCAGACGGAGAGTCTAAATCAACACGACGAAAGAGGGGCCTTGCGGGACAAAAAAATGGGAAACCATGCTGGCTGCCCATCGCGTGACCGCACCAAACCCACATCGACAGCAGTGCAAGGGCAAAGTTTGCATTGAAAAAGTGGTGGCGTTTACCCGAATGGAACATGCCACGGCTGGGCGATGGTACATCAAAATCCAGACTAACCAAACAAACCAGTTGACACCCTGAATCGCTCCGCCGTGTAGCTCTTACATTTAGCACCTGCAAGGGAGTACCGGAGGCCGTGGCGGACCGTGCTACACGTATGCATACCTCATACCGTTCTCTCCACCACAATACTACCCTACACCCACCAACACGTGCGCAACACGGTACACCTTCGGTTCAAAGACGGTGTCATCTGCACTATTACCTCCAAACGAGAATACAAATGGTCGGAGTGCTAGGCCAATCAATGCTCCAGGACAGCACAGGGAGCGGGGTGGAGCAATATGGTTGTCGGACCAAGCAGATCGAAACGCGGAAAGTGCGCATCGAATACCTGGGGGGGGGGTAAAACAAGTTGTCGATGTCCTCCGTAGCCGCTGTCGCCTCGCTCATTCTTCGCCCATCCCATCCCAACAAAACCACCTGGGCCTGCATAGGGCCCGAGGGCTGCTCAACAAACATGCAACAGCAGTATCGGGGAGGAGTAGAGGGTTGAAACCTGACTTTGTTGACAGAAAAGCAGTACTAGTGGGCGGCTGTAAGGAGAACAATGCCTGCTTCCAACCACGTCAACCTGTGCACTAAGACAAAGTACGTGAGCACTCCCAGGCCGAAATATGTGCCCGAAAAATTGAGGCAGCATAGCGATAGTAAAGGACGCTGCAAGCCGGATCCCAACGATGGTTGTGACGCCGCACGAGATGGGCAGCCACGAGAACCGCAAAACATTCAATCCAAACCTACGATAAAATCGGCGTTTAGAAAATCTCAATCACACCACACTAGTCAACGACAGACCGTTGTGCGTGAGTATTAACGGTTTCCCGTTTTGCTTGATATCATGTGGAAAGCCTGTTTCACCTCCAGGGCGTGTTTTAGGCTCGACCTCGTAGACGATAGGGAAACCGACCATGAACACCCCCCGGATTTGTATGTGTTCTAGCGTTGCGAGAAAATCTTCTAAGGTTTAACGATACTTCCGGGTGTCTCTTACACACAGCAGGAGTACGTTTGGCGTGCACGAGTCCAGCAATGGGTGCTACACCGAATGCTGTCGGCTATTCTCTCGCCTCCCCTGCCTCTCTATGTAGATGTTTGTTTACTTTCTACAGTGTCATGGGTAAACTTGTCGTAATTTTTGTCATCACGGAATAAGCTTCCAGGCGTTCTGGAACACGTAAGAGAAGGCACCGGATACCTAAGACGTAGAGCTTGGAGCAGTTCTCGGCGGAAAGACAACAACCATGGAATGGAATCAAACCTCACCGACGGCGTTTCTGGTGGGGAAGACGTGCCCCCGATGCCAAACAGCCCCTTCACGAGCACCACCGCGAAAGCAACAGCCGCCAAGCCGATCGCACCCACCCACGGGTCCATGCCAACGCCGGCGTCGGCCCCTTCCTGGGCGTACCCCTGAGCATGCCAACCGCCGCCAACACCGCCATCGCCGGCCAAAGTCCTCCTTACACCAACGCCATCAGCCTCGGCCTGGTGTCCAGCGGCGGTCTGGGGTGCCGTGATGGCGGTGTCCTCCGCAGAGATGGCTCGCCCGCCTCCGGGATAGCTGGCGGGGCTCACACGCCCGTTTCCGCCCTCCCCGCGGGGATGCGCCGCCTCGCTTCTGGTCGTGCCGCCTGCCCCATCACCATCCTGTGGAGAACCTTGCTGCCAGTTGTCTTGGTTGTTCGCTTCTTCCGGGGCAGCGAGCGCGGCGGCTGCGGCGCTGAGCTGGTCGTGAGGGTACTCCGTGCCGTCCGGTCTACGGAGGTCCCACACCGAGGTGCAAGGGCTGGGGGCAGCAGAAGGTGCTGCTTTGACGGTCGATAGAGGTGCTCGCGACATCGAAATCGGCCACGACGAGAAACTGCTCTGGATCGTCGACAAAGACAGGAGACCGACCGCCAGAACAAGGAACAACGCGACGCTACATCGATTTGTTCCGAGGACGGCAGAGCGGGCAATAGCAGCGGTGGGAAACGAGGCGCGACAAAATGGCGGAGGGTCGTGTCGGCATGATAGTTTACAAACATGATACCCCTTCAAGGTGGAACACTGGACGAAACGGACCTGGTGTGTCGATGGAAATCAAACGGCAACATTCCTAGACAGGGCATTCTCGATATCGTACACACGGTGCGTTTGTTCCGGGGACATGTACATGTCTCTTGCTTCAGAGCAAGTAAAGTGGTCATTAAGAATCGAAACGTTCCATTCATAGTCAAAGCCACCGGCAGGATTCAACCTGGCCGAAAGATGCCGTCAACTCAGCGCAATGCCAACTGCCAGTATCGAACCGTTTGTGAATTCAACGTGCTTACCTCCTCGATATCCTTGGCAAGACTCCTTTGAGGGCGGAGGTTTTGACAACACCCAAGACAAAACCTCCGGAAAAGGAGGCTTCAACCTTTCCTCCGGCGTCCGGAAAGAGGATGCGCGACACGTTATGGAAAACACGTTCTGCCAGCCCCACCACTTCTCCCTGCCCCAAAGGCTTTATCGGACAGCACGCCGCACCCAGCAGGAGACGTACAAATCGGGAGGGGTTGCGGGAAAAGGGAAATTCGCTTCTCAGCTGTTCTTCTAAAGGAGTTTCCAAACTCCACGTTCTGACTGCGACGAGGGTCGGGGATTTTCTCAACGCAATCAACAAAGGGGCCCTCCGCATGAAACAATTGAACACTCCGAGGCCACGCGTCAATCGCGATCACAAGGGGGGG